GATGAAAACGTCTAAAAGTTGTTTTCTCGTTTTATGAAGAAAGTTGAGATCGTTTTCAATTCTTCGTTTTCCGTGTTTTCTAACTTAATTGCACCGAATGCATTTTTGGTTGTTTTTATTCTCGGAAAACAGAAAACGGGGTTAGAAAATGATAACGAACGAGCCCTAACGTTCTTGAAAATTCCAGGCTCCATGGCTGATCTCATCCTCCTGACTTAAAAAGTCAAAACGCTATCTCCAACTTTGACTTTCTCTGGATCCTTCTTCGGTGCATTTTGGATTTTATATCTTGGAATATAATAAAAGAAGGGAAGCTCCAATTTAATTTTTTCATTTGACGTAACTAAAGACTCATTTTATATTATTTTAATTATTCTTTAAAATTAAAATAATTATCAAACGAACTCTAAATTTTTAAATTACTTATTTTTTTAGGGTTCGAAAGTTATTTTCATATGCAACTACGACCATTTTCAAGAGGTTCTGGTTTTTTTTTCCTTCCTCTTTGCCATAAATTTCAGTAGGTTGAAACTTGAAACCGATTAAAAAAATTATCATATGGAGAAGAAATAACGATTCGTTTCTTCTGTTTGTTTTCAACAACCTAACCTAACATTGAGCTAGGAAACAAAGGGAGGGGACCCATGAAGGGCTGTTTAAGGATGTTTTCTTATGTGAATTCATTGATTATGGCAGCAGCAGGCAGCAAATTAATTAGATCCACTAACTTTTTAGCTAGATTGAATAATTATCTCTGTACCATGACCTTTACTTTGGGGCATGCTGTGGGTCATACAAGTAATAATATGTAGGGTATGGCTTAGATATTTCGATCATATCATTGACAAAGTAGTAAGAAAATGTGAAGGATTGTAAAAATCTATAATTGAGGTACTTTGCTTTGTGTTTTCTTATCTTCATCATGATGCAAAATGAGAAAAAGTTACTTATAGCGGGGATATTATTTGTGATGTTATTCCGAACTAATTACTCATTTTCACGTATTTTAACTTTTTCACATGACAATATAATTTTTCGACATGACAATACATGTTTTATTAAATGGGGCTCTCAAAGAATTTTTAATTTACTTTGGGTTGTAAACATGAACCCTTTTTAGATTGAAAAAGAATAAGACTAAAAAGCTCTCAAATTTCCTATTTGAAAACGTGATAAATTATTGATTTGATGGATGAGCCAAGTGGGCAAAAGCTTTTGTGCTTGACAGGGAGTGTAATAATACAAGCTTAAAACCATGTCAATTATGCCAGCAAATAGTGGCCACTTTCTTTTTTAATACAATTGAGAAGGCAAGTTGGGGACACCAAAAATGGGAACAAACCTGTAGTAGGTCATATTCTACCAATTTTAGGTACAGTTAAGTTATGCAGTTGAAAAAACATCAAATCTTTTCTCGATTATCTTTGGAAATTGTTATTAACACTTTGAAAAAGTCGATTTTTGCATTTCTTTTGTGTATAAAAGTAAGAGTAAAGCAGCTCTTAAAGGAATATACGAGAACTATTTTAAAGTGTCAATAACAATAGTTGTATCTTATAGACATCTTTAACGATCAAGTTAATGGTAATTCTTTAAACTTTTCACCCTTCCAGACCCAAATACACTCAACCCTAATTTGTGCGACTAGATTGAATCATCAAGGGAAAGTCATGATCCCAATACCATAATTATCATCTTAATTTCCCACTAATAAATGACAAACATTTCCAGGATTCAGAATTTCAAAATGAATTCAGAAGAACAATTTGCCATGTCATCAATGGAGAAAAACAAAGCAGCACTTCCGACACAAGTCTATTAAGAAAAAATAAAAATAAAAAAGGAAAAAGAAAATTGCTTCACTTATTCACGCTATCATCTGTTCAACTTCCATTTTGCATCTCTAGAAAAACAAAATGTTTTTTTTTTATATAATATTTTTTGGTCAATGGGAAAGAGAAAAGGGACATTTGTTTATCACCACCGGCATCCGCAGAGAGTTTGGTATTGGTACCTTTTGGACCGACCCTATACATTATTTTTTGTAACGAACCTCTTGTTTATTTTCTTGCAAGCAGCCACTCCAAAGACTTTGCAAAAAATTGCAAGCCCCAATGCCTCTTCTCTCATCTTCTAATAAATTAATAATATTATTATGTCTACTTTTGTGGCCCCCAACATTAGCTGTAGATCACAAATGCGCCATTAAAGTTGGGTCATGAGGAGCATGGCCTTTTGCTCAAGTCTCTCTCTCTCTCTACCAAAGTATCACTCATTTGACTAGAAAAAGACTCAAATTTGACACTCCCATCATAAAATAACTTCCAAAAATCCATGCCCTCCTTCACCATCTTTAAATTAAGATGAGTTTTTTGGAACATAATTATGTACACCTGTGTGTTTAATTTTCAATTTTTTTATTATAAAAAAATTGGGATTTTTCGAGAATCTTCGTTGTGATTTTCTTTGCTTCACCAAAAAAGAAAAAGGAAGTTATGTCAAACCAGATATTATAAAAAAAGGCGAAAATCATAACTTTAAAACAATTGAAACTATATGGATCAAAGTGAAATTTCGGAAAATGATATTTTAGCCTAAAGAGTAAATGCTGAGGAGCAGGAAGAACCCACATGACCATTATGCTTGTAATTAGGTGGTGGTGGTGATTACTATTTGAAGCTATCTTTTTGCGTTATTTTTTTAACTTGCATAATATAAGATTACGTCCCCCAAATGACAAACAAGAATATCTAATCACAGTTTTGGACTTATGTTCAACAAATACTTTATTAATTCATTTAACATGGGTTTCATTGTCTTGGTGTCAAGACATGCTAACCCCACTTGGAATTGTGACTTCAACTACCTCTATCAGTGTCTTCGACAACATGATCATGACGACGACTGTGAGATATGACATTTTTGGTTGCGCTAAGCATTCCCTCTGCTATGCACTTCGAGAAGAAGTTGGATACAACGGGATGCTATTTTGATGGTATTTCGAATCAATCATGTATTATTTTGACTATATTCAAATCAATTGTGCATTATCAAATAAGTGCATAATTAAGTTGGAGATGCTATTTTGAACGTGTTTCAAATCAATCATGTATTATCGCATAACAGTGCGCGTAATTAACTTGAGATGTTATCAGTGTCATTTGTACAAAAGCAAATTGGCCAATCCAAACTGTAAAAGGGCTCACAGTACTTGATTAAGCACAGCTTTTTACTTAAACTTGTGGTATGAATTTCTTACTAACTTATGATTGAACAAAATTGCAAATGCAAATTTCCTTCAAATGGGGAAGAAAAGGATATGAACATATAAACATAACACTATAAAATTTGATATCTAAATATCCTAAATATAAAAAAATAATATTAAAAAACTTACAATAAGCTCAAGCAAAGCTTAATTTATCCTCCTCCTCCACCACCACCGCCACCCCAAACCCAGATTCCCTCCGCCCTATCCATCCTATAAATTAAGAAATATCAAAATAATACAATTTTCTTTTTCTTTTTTTTTTTCAAAATTCAATTTAGTCTAAAGCATTAGGCCCAGCGCAGGCCTTGAGAACAGGGCTCCAAATCCACTGCAACAAAAACTTCCTCCCTTTGCTTCCATTCACATTGAATGTCCTGCCTTCCCTGTCCCGCATCACCTGCCCAATGTACCCGCCACCGCCGCCAGTACCGTACAATCCTTCGCACAAGTCTCAGATCTCAGTTGGGGCCGTTGGGTCGTACCAGGCGTTGATCAGCGGGTTCGAGGCCAGCTCGGCGAGCTCGTGCCCGATCACGCTGATCATCCCGTCCACACCCACGTCCCTGTTCGGCGGCGAGAGAGATCCCGGCCCACCTCCGCCCATGTACCCGGGGAGGGCAAACGGGTAGGCGCAGACCTCCGGGCACTGCTTGCCTGAGTTTCCGATCCAGGCGTAGGGGAGAGTGTGGCCTACCATGGAGGGGAAGGTGAAGTAGTGGAATCCACAAACCGCTCGACAAAAGTCCTGAACGGTGACGTCCTCGGAGGTGAGGATGAGGTAGACGCCGTGCTTGTGGTCGACGGGGAAGGGGGCGGATTTGACGGCGGAGGCGATGACCTGCTGGACGGAGAGGCGGGGGGGGGGGGGCCCGGGGGGGGTAAGGGGGGGGGGGGGGTGGGGGGGGGGCGCGGCGGGTCGGGTCGGTGCGGTGTAGGGGGCGCCGCGGCGCCCCCACCCGGCGACGGAAGGGGCGGCGGCGGAGTGCGCATCGGCGGAGATGGATTGGATGAAGTCGGTGATGAGGAGCTTCTGGGATGGGGCCCACTTGCCGTACCAGATGAGGTAGATGTTGATGGGGGAGGAGGAGAGGACGGGGCCCATGTGGTAGCGGAGGTGGACGAGGTCGGAGGAGCCCTCGAACTTCTTTGAGGAGGAGATGGCGCGCGGCGGCAGCTTCGGGTTGATGAGCTCGTGAGTGTTCAGGGACTGAACTGAAGCACTGGCATTGGCACGTGCGAGTCCGCTGTCACGTACGAGGATGAGGACGAGGAGGAGGAAGAGGGAGATGAGATTTTTAGAGAGGGTCATTTTGTTGGTGTGGGGAAGATTGGAGAGAGGAGGAGGGAGGAGAAGGGATTATATAAAGGTGGGGGAATGGGAATCGGGAGGGAAATGGGCTGGAGACAGCTGCAAGGTGTGGGCACAGAAGAGAGAGAGAGAGTGTGATTTTTAGTCTTTTGCTTTGAGTGTCACTGTCCCTCTCTCTCTCCTCCCTCCTCTCTCTATCTTCTGTTTGTTCTGGAAAACCGGGAATCGGCTTTTTTGAGAGGTGCTTCTGTTTTGAATTTGTAAACAAAATGATTTTTTGTTTGTATTTTTATTTTTACGGTTCTATTTGAATGAAAAAAAATAAAGCAAATGCTAAATTACATTTTGATCCCTTCGGTTTTGAATTCGATTTCATTTGGATTTCTGTAATTTACTTTGTTATAATCATAATTGCATGTGTCAAGTATTAAAAATAGTGGTGAGCATACATATTGAGTTAACATAGTGAGCAAAAATATTTCCCAAAATGAATACTAAGCACAATGGACTATACATGTTAGCCGTAAATTTGTGTAAATTTTATTGTAAGATTCACATCATGGTTACATGGAAGATTATCTCTAACATGACTCATTCTGCTTAATTTAGTCGACAAAAATGTAACCTATTAAGCTAGTTATATTTTTATATATAAGCGATATTCTACTTTAATCTAATTTAAATTATAGGAAGTGAGATTCGAACTCGAATGTAGAGTAAGAAGCACATCCGCTCTAGTCAATTGGGCTAAGCAAACGTATGCAACTAGTTACATTTTTTTTTTTTGGTTAATTCACGATCTAAATACAATTGTTAATGAACTTATAAATGCTGAAAAATACTTCAAACCAATAAGTTAACACTCTTTGATCCCTTATATTTTTCTTTTATCATTTTTTAAATTATTTAGGAAAATTGAAATGATCAAGTACCATAATCACTTTGCCATTGACCATTAGGGTTTGTCGACATCCATGGGGAAGATAAGAAAGTGAGGAGGAAAGGGGATACAAATGTAAGGTGGGATGCTTTTAATTTTGGTAAAGGAGAAAACGTCCATGCCTTATTTTGTTTATCGTTACAAAAATAAAACTGTACATCACCAATCTCATAAATAGAGAAACAGAGAAGGGAAAACAACTACAAATCACACGTATCAAATAAATTCAAATATTCATAAATTTGTAACGTCAAACTAGTGACGTAGTTTATAACTCACTTCATCCTCGCAATTTTATTATATGTGAACTATTTGATGAGTTTTGCAGCTTTTTATTTATTTATCGATATACGAGTTTTGCAGCTTAGTTGTTCATTAAGGTATATAAATGGCAATTAAGTAATACTTTGGGATTAAAAATTTATTTTTATTTGTGAAAAAAAAGGCTTGTTTTTATTGCGACAACGACTATATATATATATATATATATATCTCCTAAAAGCTTGGGGCAATGTTTATTATTGCCAATATCAGTAGCACTGAATACAATTTTTATTTTCATTTATTTTTTTTTTGTCTGAAAAAAAAACCAGTGAATGTTGAGCTGTCCGATTACAGCACAATCAGACAACTGAATACATTTTTGTCCCCATAATTGGTGGGAAAAAGTGTGAAAATTACGTTTAAAGTTGACCCAGAAATTCCATGATAAGCCAAGCTTTCATTGACTTTGCTTTTGCACTAACTGAGAGGCCATTGCTCTGCACAAAAAAGGCCCCCAAACTCTGAAGTGATGACCAAGAGGCCCAATGTATTTAACCTTATTATAGATATGAGTTTCCAAAAATATCTACTCATTTATGCCCAGAGTCTCAAAATTACTAAAATGACACTATTAACAATTTAATACTTGAATTCAATGAAGATGGGTTAAAACAAGAAAGACATCCCTAAACCTAACAAACTCAAAAGCATCCTCAGCCACAAGTCTTGCAAACAGCTCAAATAAAATGAAATTTTGAATTAGGGATATCGGCTTGATCTACAAAGCCCTCTGCTTTATCATCTCAGCATCTCTGCCATACAACAAACATATCCCACACTTTTCCACCGAAACCTGAAAGGGATGAAAAGTGTACATTAAAGTGAAGTCAAGATTGACCTCAGTAACAAGTTTGTAAAACGCGGTGGGGCTTTGAGCTCCCTTTACAACTTCTTCAAAGACACTACTAAACCACCACACCAACACCTCAGGTGAATCCATCCTCCTTCCAAAATAGAACGGATTACACTGAGGATGGTTGACTTCATGGCTTTCACCATTACTAGTTTTGAAGGTGTACTTGCATCCAATCTCCATATACCATGGAGCAAAGTGAACAACAAGAGATAGAGCGAAACCCAAGAAATCTGTGCTAAACCAATCACGAGGAAGCTCAATCTTTATTGAACATCCCTCACTTTTATGGCTGAACCAATTTGGAATTTCATTCCCACAACATCTAATGCCAACAAAAGATCTCTTGCGTAAAGATTCCTGTACCATGGATATGGACATCATAGTTGTTAAACTAGTGAAACAAAAAAGAGCAACTTCTTCAACAGAAGTGAGTTACAAAGAGAGAGAGAGAGAGAGAGATACCTCATTTGAATTATATGATGTTTTTTCAATTTTGTCTTCTTTAAACTTTGACAAAGCAGTTGCCATTCGCATAATTCTGAGCTGTGCATCAGCCATTATGTTGCTTCGTGCGTTCTCATCCAACTCTGGGCATTCAAAAAATATATGTTGCTCATGAAGCCCTCGAGAAAATTTATATTTTTCCCAACCTTGTGCGAGTGCAGTGCTTGAACTTGACACTGTCTTCAGTGACGTGCAACCTTCTGCTTCAAGATGTTGAAGCAATGGGGGGAGCTCTGGTAAAGATTCAAGGCTCTTGCAACTATAGAGGAACAGGCGCGACAATTGAGCAGCTTGTTTGACGCTTGCAGGTAAGCTCTTAATTTTGGAGCAACTCAAATCTAACACTTGTAATGAGGTTAAGCAAAAGAGCTCATCGGGGACAACCTCAAGGTTCTTGCAGTATTGGAGTTTTAATTCTCGAAGTGCAACTAGATTTCCAATTGATGGGGGTAGCTCTTTAACCGCTGTACGTGATAAATCTAGAAACTCCAGATGTTCTATAGGCTTCGAGATTTCTGGGAAGTTTTGAAAGTTAGAACAATCCTGGAGATCAAGGCTCCTTAGAGATTTCAACTTCCAAATGTTCGTTGGGAGACTCACAAGACTTTCGCAATTGATTAGTTGAATTGCAGTGAGACCAACGGCAGACTCTATTGATGCATTAATCCTCAATTCTTTTATTGTTGAACGAGTCAACGCTAGCTCTGTTGTATTCCTGGGAAGCTCCCAAAACTCGCAAAGAGATTCGCAGCCTTCTAGACTAAGAGAGGGTTTCAGCTTACAAGTGTTGCTTGGAAGACTCTTAAGATGTTTACAATATGTAATATCTAAGTGAGATATTTTTTTGTGAGACCAAACTGATGAAGGCAATTCCTCTATTGCTGTTAAAAACAAATCTAAGAATTCAAGATTGCATGGCATCTCGGGAAGATTTTTGAGATTTCTGCACCTCCGAAGGTCAAGATAAGTAAGCTTGCCAAGATGTTGAAAATACGAAGGAATTTCAACCAACCTTCCACACTGTTTCAGATCTATATGTTCAATTTGTAGACTCCGAGAGAGATTTGGGACTTTAGTTAGATGCCTGCAGTCATTAAGATTGATCCATTTCAAGTTCACAGGACTCTGTAACAAATTAAACAAGAATTAATAACTTATTAGCTTGTAGATTATTACTTTCTAGGCCACATGTTATACAAGAACTAAAATAAGCATATATAATATACCTGGTCTTCATTCCAAAGTTGCCCCTCAACTTGGCTGTACGGCATTTCAAGGACAACAAGATTTTGAGCAGAAAATTTTGATGGCAAAGATTTCAAATGATAGTTGACCCAGCGAAGATATCTAAGAGAATTGGGAAGACCTAGAGAACCAATTAATGAATCGGGAAGAGAATATGGGTGCCAAACATAATCACCACGTAGCCATCTCAGTTCACGCATCTTTTCGAAGTTTGCATATTCCATCTCAAGCAAATGAATGGATATGGCTTGAACATGTCCATCGCTCTGACAATCAAGAGCAACAATATAAATGTAAAATATAATATACAAAAAAAGGTTTAATTAAAATAACATTTGTAGGAATAATCTGACTTGTTTATTGAAAATGTGAATAATTAAACTACCTGGTTATTTGCCAATAATTGATTGACATCCTTTGCCATGAATAACCTACTGCCTTGTTCTTGAGCAATTGCCTTACCCATTTCTTCCACCAAATCATGCATCTCTATGCTGTTCCATTTGGAAATTGATATGAGAGACCTATCAATAAGATCATTGATTCCTGTTTCCCCAAAGAAATCACAACTATCTAACATTCTTTCTACATCATTCCTCATATAGCCTTTATGAAAACATGCTATATCAAGAAATATCTCCTTCGCATTGTCATCTAATCCATCGTAACTTACTCTCAACACTTCCTGGATTTCTCCGATTGGAACTCGTTTCACTTTTTTCCATTGAACTTCCCACTCTCGTTTGCTCTTGCAACGATGGAATGAGGACCCCATAACTTTAAGAGCTAATGGAATGCCCTTAATATAATCCACCACCTCTCTTGACAACTCAGTGTAATCTGTTGTCGGAGACTTATTTCCAAAAGCATGCGAGTGAAAGAGCTCAAGACCTTCATCAGAACATAATCCCTCAACATTGTATATCCTTTCACGGTCAACTCTTTGCTCAAGTAGGCCTTGATCTCTAGAAGTTATAATGATTCGACTTCCTTGGCAAAACCGATCATCATCACCAACAAGATATTCTAGTTGTTTTCGAGCATTCACATCATCAAGAACAATGAGCGCCTTCGTACGCCTGAGCCTATCTTGGATATGACGTGGTATAGACAGAGTGTTGATATTTACACGTTCATCCTTTAATAATTCACGAACAAGTGTATTTCGCAAGTCATTTAGTCCATCCATTTTTTCTGATTTCTCCCTCACATTTGCAAGAAAACAACAAACTTCAAATTTAGATGAGTGCCTGTGAAATACAGCATCAGCAAGGGTGGTCTTGCCAATACCACCCATGCCCCAAATACCTACACAGCAAACACCTGGTGAACCCAAGCATAATAACGACTCAATTTTCCCAATTTTCTTTTCAATCCCAACCAGACCCTTTAAATCACTTGACGATTCGCGATTCAATTTGGTCAAAACAACTTGAGCAACTTTCTCAACAAAATCGGCCTCTGTCCTGGCAAATATCGTTATGAAAGACAAACAATAGTAGGAGTAGAGTATGAATCAAATAATAAAAAAGTAGAAATTGATACAAATTAGAGAGTTAGTTACCCTGTTTTGCTGGAATAATGAAACCCAGACATATTGGCTGCTTCCTCCAAAGCAGCCCTCCAGTTGGCCACCTCATCCCTACTGCGCTTAAGTGGACGATCTTCAAGTGCATAAGTTCCCTGCTGTTTTCGTACATCCGATGGATCTATGCGATAAAAAATGGGTATAACAACCTGTCCATGGCTTTTCTTGCATCCAAGTATATGCACAAGTTCTTTCAAACACCATGTGGAAGAAGCATAGTCTTTTGAGAAAATGACTAGTGCAAGTTTCGATTTCTCGACTGCTTCTAGAAGGGTAGGTCCAATGTCGTCTCCTTTCTCAAGTCTGTTATCTATGTATGTGTCAATGTTCTTCCCAAGTAAAGCCGCGTGTAGATGGCTGGTAAAAGCATCGCGTGTGTCCTCACCTCTGAAAATAAGAAACACATCGTACTTTTCTTGAAGGGGAGCAGGAAAAGGAAGAGAAGAAGAAGAATCCATATCCCTATCCAAAACCTGCAAACCTGTCAAAACATGCATATATGCAAATAACGGTAGGTCCAAAAAATCTCCACAAACAAGTATAAGAGAGCTAATAATTAAGTTAGAGCGAGACAGACGGTACCTCCAGATCAAGAAAGAAGCTGCAGAGATATTAATCGCCTTATCAGCAAATATTAAGAAAGAAATAATGGTATGATTATGAAGACCTCAGGATGAGATCTAGAAAGAAGTGGTAGAGCTTATAGCTATATCATGTTTTGGCAATCGTACTAAAAGCAGAACGTGCTTTTGAGTTCCAGGATGAGATCTAGGTGGGAGTGGCAGCACAGACTTTCGCTTTTGAGCTGGAATTTTTCTTCAGTTCATCGCGCTTTTGAGTTGACTTCTACCTCCAGATCAAGAAAGAAGCTGCAGAGATATTAATCGTACTAGAAGCAGAACGGAAAAACAATGGAAATTATGAAAAGAAAAACGAAAGTGCAGAGGAATTGTCCAAGCATTCAAACTTTCAAGCCATCCAACTCTTACTAAAATTCAAGCATTTCACACACTGAATAAAGAAAAGGGCACATGGGAGTGAGAGTGACAACACAATGGCCCCCTCTTACACGCTTTACGTACAAACGAAGGTCCTGTTGATTTTTATGAGAGTCACAACACGTTACTCGGTGGGCACCCAATTTACACGTTTTTACGTAGAAAGTTCTGATTTTGTATTTTCTTTTACATGGGCAGGCCGAAGGCTTAACTGTACTAGGACATCACTAGGCCTAACAAGTTTACAACAACAAGAGGGGAGAGCCCAAAGCAACAAGAAAGAGCATCCCAGGACCTTATCTAAGCCCTTAAATCTCTTGGATCAAACTCATTATTTAATCCAACGCTAATCAACTGGAACTGGCCCATTCTCTAAGAGTTGATCAATGGGCTGGTCCAGATTCAGGTTCTTATTTTGGTTTTAGTAATTTATTTCTATGTTAATTGAGGAAAGAAGATTCGACTTACAACCTTTATTTATTTTAATTTGCAATTATCTAATTTCATACCTCAGAATCTCATATTTTCCATGGTTTCCAGCTAAGCCAGACTCTCAAGAAAGTGAATGGTTGAATATTGTGTTGTATTATCAACGTCAAATAGTACAATACATATATACAACAATAGCCTTCTATCAACCCTGCTGTTAAGGCTGTGAAGACGTGATCCAATATTAGTGGGATTTGACCTACACTAATTTGGGCAAGTAAAGATATTACAATATTTACAAAGATATTTCCTAATACTCCCCCTCAAGTTGGAGAGTGAATATCATGAAGTCCCAACTTGTCGCGCAATGTCACAAATTGATCATTCCCTAAGGCCTTCGTAAAAATATCTGCCAATTGGAAGTGTGTAGGTACATACGAAGGACTAATTATTCCAGCTTGTAGTTTTTCTCGAACTATGTGACAATCAATTTCGATGTGCTTTGTACGCTCATGGAAAACGGGATTAGCGGCAATATACAAAGCTGACTGATTATCACAAAACAATGGTGCAGGAGCTATCTGTGGGACTTTTAAATCCTGTAGTATAAAGCGTAACCAAGTCAACTCCAAACATGTGTTGGCCATAGCTCGATATTCAGCTTCTGCTGATGATCTTGAAACATTGGTTTGTTTCTTGGATTTCCATGAGATGAGTGAATTTCCAAGAAAAACACAGTATCCTGTAACTGATCTCCTTGTCGCACGACAACCTCCCCAGTCTGAATCACAAAAAGCTTTTAATGTAAGATTGTTGGTGGCAGAAAATAACAAACCCTGACCTGGAGTCCCCTTGAGGTATTTAAGGACCCGTATGGCGGCATCCCAATGAGGTCTGCGAGGCTGATGCATGAATTGACTTAGTGTTCGAACAGGATAGACTATATCAGGCCTTGTGACAGTAAGGTAGATCAATCGGCCAACCAGTCTCCTGTATTTGGTTGGATCATTCAGTAATTCTCCATCTGTGGGAGTGAGTTTCAAATTCTGTTCCATTGGGAACTTGTCTGGGCGTGCGCCTAGAAGTCCTGAATCCTGCAAAATATCAAGTGCGTACTTTCTTTGAGACATGAAAATACCTTTCTTGGAACGAGAGAATTCAATGCCCAGAAAATATTTCAAATCTCCAAGATCTTTGATGCGGAAGCGATTGAGAAGGAACTTTTTGAGACGTTCCATTTCTTGAAGATTATTTCCTGTGAGAAGTATGTCATCAACATAGATAAGAACTGCAGTAAATGAAGTGCCTTCAGCCTTGGTAAAAAGAGAATAATCAGCTTTAGACTGTTGATAACCGGCCTTTTGAATGGTATCTGAAAAGGTGGAAAACCAGTTTCTGGAAGCCTGTTTGAGACCATAGAGAGATTTGTTGAGCCGACATACAACGTTCTCCCCCTGTCGGCGAAGACCAGGAGGAGGCTCCATGTACACCACCTCATGTAAATCGCCATGGAGAAAAGCATTTTGAACGTCTAATTGGTGGAGGAACCAATGGCGTGCAGCAGCAACAGTAAGGAGACAGCGGAGGGTAGTGAGTTTGGCTGTAGGGGAGAAAGTCTCCTGATAATCAATGCCCTCAATTTGCGTGTAGCCTTTATGCAGCAGCAACAGTAAGGAGACAACGGAGGGTAGTGAGTTTGGCTGTAGGGGAGAAAGTCTCCTGATAATCAATGCCCTCAATTTGCGTGTAGCCTTTAGCAACGAGCCGAGCCTTGTAGCGCTCAATGGTGCCGTCGGACTTGTATTTGATTTTGTAGACCCATTTGCAGCCTATCGGTTTATGACCAACAGGCAGTGGAACCAAACTCCAAGTGTTATTGTGCTGTAAAGCCTCTAGTTCTGCAGACATGGCTTGGCACCAATGTGGATCAAGAATAGCCTGAGCATAGGATGTGGGTTCTGTGTGACCTGTAATGTTAGCAAGAAAAGCACAATGGGCAGAAGATAAACGAGAGTAGGTAAGGAAGTGGGAAAGAGGATACCGAGTACCTGATGCAGAACGAGGCGCTGAGGTTGAGTGATTGACGTGGTTGGACATGTGGTAGTCTCTATGCCATGCCGGAGGATGTTTAGAGCGAGTGGACTGTCGAGGAGGGTGAAGGAGAGGAATGAGATTATCTGTATGTGGTGTGGTTGACGGATGGGGACAAAGGTGGGATGGGAGAGGTGGGGCTGTTAGGCCCGTCATGTGCGTCAGAGAGGATAGAGTGGTTAGGCGCTGGTGGTGGGTTGGTTGGAGGGTTGGGCGGATTGGCTGGTGGGTTGGGCGGATCGATGGGTGGGGTCCAGCTGTTAAGAAAATCAGAGGAAAGGTAGGGCTGGGGAGTATATGGGGAAAGTGAGGCCGAAAATTGAGAGAAAGGGAAGGTATTTTCACAGAATCGGACATCACGGCTTACAAAGAATTTGTTTGTCTCCAAATTGTAGAGTTTGTAACCTTTTTGGCCAGTAGGATATCCAACAAAAACACAACGTATGGCACGGGGATCAAATTTATGAATAAGATGGACAACAGTTGCATAACAGAGACAACCAAAGACTTTCAAGTGGTTGAGTGATGGGGGACGGTTGTATAACAATTCAAAAGGTGATTTATTGGAAAGTAATGGTGAAGGTAATCGGTTAATAAGATAGACAGCGGTCAAGACACATTCACCCCAGAAAATAATGGGTAAGTGAGACTGAAAAAGTAATGCACGTGCGACAGTGAGAATGTGGCGATGCTTGCGTTCGACGACTCCATTTTGTTGTGGAGTGTAAACACAAGTGCGCTGATATTCAATGCCATTATTTTGAAAAAAATCCCTCATGGAGAAAAATTCAGACCCGTTGTCTACCCGAATGGTTTTAATGTTGGCATGGAATTGAGAGTGGGCAAAAGCAACAAAAGATTTGAGAAGGTTTTGGGTTTCAGATTTATGATGCATCAAAAATATCCATGTGCACCTAGTAAAGTCATCCACAATGGTAAGGAAAAAACGTGCACCTGAATGTGTGGTAACTTTGTGCGGACCCCAAATATCACAATGTAACAAATCAAAAGGAGCTTTAGTTGATATTGAACTTAGAGGAAATGGAAGTCTTGTTTGTTTGGCCATGGGACAAACACTACAATTATTATCAAAAGAAATGGTATTGGAAGGCAATAATGAAGAAGCTAATCGAAGACGAGCAGGGGACGGGTGTCCAAGTCACATGTGCCATAAATCAGATGAGAGTGAAACTTGATATGAGACAGGTGTCTTTTGCAACGGAGACATGTAATAGAGACCACCACGTTGTTTCCCCGAGCCAATCATCTTCCTCGTAGCCAAATCCTGCAAGACACAGAAGGTAGGAAACAAAATGGCACAACAGTTTAGAGAAGTAGTGAGTTTGCTGGCAGACATAAGATTTAAGCGAAAAGATGGAACACACAAAACTTTGTCTAATGTGATATTTGAATTGAATGGTATAGTGCCAGTGGAAGTGATTGGGGCATGAGAACCAGTAGGTAAATTAACAATGGGCATTTGTGATGATTCAGTTTTGGTGAAAAGTGTGGGGTCATGAGTGATGTGATCAGTAGCTCCGCTATCTAAAATCCAAGGTTTAGTGAACACAGAATTTATGGAGGGAATGGAAAAAGGAGCCAGACCTGCAGCATTTGCATAAGCATTGCTATTACCAGAGGAATGAGTTGAACTCATCATAGAAACGGCATGTGCTAGTTGTTGGAGTTGCTCTGCAGAAAGCCCATGTAAAGGGTTGGATTGAGAGGCTGGCTGGGTTGTTGCATTGAAACCATATGACTGGGCCTCATGCGCTGGAGCTGTGTCTGCTGCGTGGGCAGTAGAAAAAGACCCACGCGAATTGTGCCCTTTAGACCCTTGACGTTGTTGCTTAGATTGATTGTGCTTACTGCCTTGAATTCCTGTGTCATTGGGAACCCATGTCCCATTTTTAAATTTACATCTATCCTCAGTGTGGCCTCTCCTATCACAATACTTGCAATGGAATTTGAGGGTCCGACATTCTTCAATTGTATGACCGTTTCTATCACAGTGCTCACAGTGTTTGTTCATCGAATTATTCGACATATTGTTTGATCGGCTGTGAATCGCAGCAGCAATGGAAAAATTCTCTGTTGGTCCTGATGTTATTTGTCGCTGTGTTTCGTCTTGAACGACGAGTGAATAGGCTTGGCGGACATTAGGCAATGGCGACATCATGAGGATATTGCCGCGAACACCGTTGTAGGTGTCGTTGAGGCCCATAAGGAATTGCATCATCCGATCTTCTTCCTTTTGTGTATTGTGTGCTTTCATCTCGTTACATGTGAGGGGTGTTTGATATGTTTCTAATTCGTCCCAGAGATCCTTGAGTTTCTTGTAATAGTCTGAAACCGTCATGGTGCCTTGTGAGAGAGAGGCGATGGATTTCTGTATCTGATATATGGTTGGTGCATTCTTTTGTGAGAATTGATCTTTGAAATCTTGCCACACTTGATGGACAGTCTTGGCATGAACAACTGCTTTGGCCAGATCGGGTTCCACCGAGTGAGCAAGCCATGATAAAATCATACTATTGCATTGATTCCAGAGAGCATATTCAGCTGGTTGTTCAGTTTCTGAAGGAGGTTGAACGGATCCGTTGACAAAGCCAACTTTGTTCTTGGCCGTAAGAGCATGGAGCATGGATTTACTCCAAGATGGGTAATTGGTGCCGTTCAACTTTATGGGAACGAGCATGAGACCGGGGTGATCTGATTGATGAACAAAATATGGATGTGATGAATCCATACCAGGATTTTTGGTGTTGGTGCTTGAATTTTTGGAATTATTGTTTCTGGTTTCTGGTGGTGTTTGATCTGACATGGTGTTTGAAGGTGGCTAGGAAGTAGAAAGGGTCAAGTACCAGGATGAAGCTCTGATACCATCTTAAGAAAGTGAATGGTTGAATATTGTGTTGTATTCTCAACGTCAAATAGTACAATACATATATACAACAATAGCCTTCTATCAACCCTGCTGTTAAGGCTGTGAAGACGTGATCCAATATTAGTGGGATTTGACCTACACTAATTTGGGCAAGTAAAGATATTACAATATTTACAAAGATATTTCCTAATACAGACTTCTTGGTTCTTTTTTGCTTCTTTTGATGGTAGCCTGCTTAGGGACCTGATTGGTAACTTGAGGGTTGAAATCCACTTCGTTTGTCATTTATAGATCTGCAGTAAACATATACAACAATCAGCAAATCAGATCTATTAGGTGAGTAAAAGAAACACAAATAGAGACTTTGTTGGCAAACCAGCAGTGTTGGTGGTGGTGGTGGTACTGCAAAACGGAGGACTCCAGAGAAATGGTTGCTTCGTTTCATCTTGTCTCTTCTCTAATGAATAGAGTCTACATGAGAAAGAGTTGTTTCGTTTTCCAAGACCCAGGCACCAATTAAATGCCATGTTAGAACTTTTTGGTTTTTGGATTGTGAAAATCTAAGTATTTTCTGTCGGGTGGCATGCATTAGGGTCCAATTAAAGGCCAATTAAGACAAGCCACGTTTAAAGCAAGTTTTGAGCAAATTGTTTGTGTTGCTTTGCTTTTTTGTTTTTTTAATCCTAAGGTGGATGACATTAATCTATTGGAAAAAAAAAAATATATATATATATATATTGTTAGAGAAAAACAAGACTATATATTTTTTACCAATAGTCTTAAATTAATATACTCCTATGTTTAGCATATATGAATATATGAGTACTGAAATAAAATATATATAAGACTTATAAATAAATAAAAATTAATTATAATTATAATTCGGAATTTTCCAGAAAATACTGGAAAAATCAGATCCTTTTGTAGTTCGGAATTTTTCGGACCAGAATTTACAAATACATTATGTCCCATGTCTCTTGACCGAGATTTGGTGATTCACTTTGTCTCATGTCGTCAATTTCATCCAAAAATATATTAACTTTGATGACATGGCAAGTGAAGGACCCACTTTTATGTTGATGTGTTAATACAAATAATAAAAAAGTCCTTAAAACCTTATTATAGATATGAGTTTCCAAAAATATCTACTCATTTACGCCCAGAGTCTCATAATATCTAGTGGAAGCGCAGCAGTTGCATTTAATGCATCCGACAATTTGGATCATACTTATGTATAGGTTAGGACTTATTATAATTACTTAAATGACACTATTAACAATTTAATACTTGAATTCAATGAAGAAAATTACTAAACTCAAAAGCATGCTTAGCCAAAAAGCTTGGCGATGGAGATGGGTTAAAACAAGAAAGACATCCCTCAGCCTAACAAACTCAAAAGCATCCTCAGCCACAAGTCTTGCAAACAACTCAAATAAAATGAATATCGGCTCTACAAAGCCCTCTGCTTTATCATCTCGGCATCTTTGCCATACAACAAACATATCC